ATTTGGGCTCAGGTTTGTTTGTTCATCTAAAGGATGGCTTCCCAGTTATCAAGACATACTACAAGCAATTGCAATGACATTTGCTACATCAGCTCCACTGAGGTCTCTCACAAGAAGATTTGAGCTATACTTCTTTGATTTCCTTGATCTCTTCCTGTCCTAGAAAATTGCTTTATACAGAAACCATTTTACAGGATACCTGAAGAAATATCATGAATTTAATACAAAATACCAGCCTGTCTTCAAAGCTGTATTACCTGTCATAACTTCTGCTTCACCCAGCTAATGAATCACAGCACTCCTCCAGGCCATCACAATCACTTCAGGTCTCTTGTCCTTCCTGGCTACTCCCTTCCCAATATTGAGGCCAGTGCTCTGCACTTCTTACACGGGCAGCTGTCTAGTGACACTGTATATGGGGAAGAGCTCCCTGGGCACTTTCTTTAGCCAATGCTTGATACCTGCTGCAGTCAGGTAACAAGCTGTAATAACTGCTGTAATTGTACCTGCATCTTCTCCTATTCATCACCTGTGCATAGCATTTCCCAGAGTGCTAGAAGTTGTGCAGTCCCCTGCTGCATCCCTGATGCCTCTCTTTCCCACAGATACAGGGGAAAACACTGAAGCAGTCCTCTTAAACACCTTGGATATGCTGCTTTGCACCAGAAGTCAAAAAAGCAGAGGGAAGAGAAAAGAAATAACTCCAGAAGAGACAGTACAATCTCTGCGGAAATAGCTTCTCCTGGATTCCTGTGCTAAACATGTTTATTGGCTGGTGGGTTGAGCACCCATTGCACCAACTTTTGTTTTAAAGCAGAAAAAGCACAAGGCAGATGTAACCAGTTATTTATCATACAGAGAGAAACTGCTAGACGATCTGTGTTCACCCAACAGACATAGCTTGTGAGTTTTCGCCCTTTGCTGCTGATCCTGGGCAGCCCTTACTCCAGCCCTTACTCTCTTCTGCATGTTCCTCCATGACACAGGACCAGCACGGCAATGCAGGCTGGTCCCAGCTCCTGTACCTGTAGCCCTCTGGCCCAGCTTTACCTCCCCTGGCCTTGTGACACATGAGGCTTTGACAGGAAAATTTGCACCCATGAGGAGTGAATCCATGTGTTTGCAGACTAGGGGCATTAGTAGGAAGGAGCAGGGGAGCATGCTGATTTGGGCACCCCTCACACAGGCACAGTACAAGTTGTCCCAGCTGTCAGTGACACCCGGAGGGATAAACTCTGGTATTCAAGTGTCTTACAAATGTGTTTGCAGTGTTGGGTCAGTGATGGCATGCCTTGCTCAGACAGATGATTTGCAAACACCTAAAGGAACTAATGTTATATATGGGCTTTGTGTGAATTATCCCTTATGAAGTAACCAGAGATAAATTGAACATTTATTTTTCCTTTCTGCTATTAAGGATGCACTCTGTATGTGACAGAGAATTATGTATATGCCACAGTCGCTGAGGCAGACGGGGCCTGTTTCATGGCAGCTCTGGAAAATAAGCTTTTATTCTTTCCAAATTACTTCATAAGAAGAGTCATCGGGTTTCTTGTGGCCCTGTAATCATGTCAGGGCTGAGGCAGAAAGCAGAAGTTTGTTTGATGCTCTTGCACCCAGAAAATATGTCCTTTTCCAGAGCATGTGGCTTCTTCCATCACAAAGAGAGAAGGATTCAAGGCAAGCTTTCTCCCTGGAAAAGAAACAGCCTTTTGCTGTTTATTATGGTGCTTCCTCCCTCCCAGCCAATGCAGCTACATTTACATGCATTGCCTAGCACTGTAAATCCTACCCAGGAACGGTTCTTGAGCATGGCTGTGCAGTTTTCTTCAGTCAAACATGTTTACATGCTAATTTACTGAGATCACAGCAACCACACCATCCCATCTGCACCCTGCCTAACAAATTATAACTCTGTGTTATGGTGGGTTTGAACATCTGACATGTTTGATAATAAAGGGATGGGCAGCCAAGCAGTGGTCAGTGCTGCAGGCTGCCCAGGAGAGGGGGTAGGTTTGTAGGGCCACTGCATTGCCCAGTGTCCCAAGCTGGGGGGACAAACAGCCCCCATCCCAGGGCAATGAGCTGCTCCTCTGATCACTAGCAACTGGCTATGCTAGAGGTGAATGGGGACACTTCTGAGGCTCCCCAGAAAGGCTTTTGACTGGTCTTCTGCATGCCACTCCCCTGCTGCACTGCAAGATCACTAGATAGCCCTGGAGCATGTCACTTCCTAGGCAGAGGTCTGGAAGAGCCTTGCACAGGTGGTTTTGGGGCAGAAAGCATCTTACAAATGGCTTGCACAGTCTCACCTACCAGAAACATCAATCTACCTTTCTCTTGCATCCCCAGCAGAACAGCATAATCTTCCTTTCTTCCATCTCATGTCCACCATAGGAACCATAAGCCATTTCACACATTGTGCACTACTAACCAAAAGATTCCCTCTTGTAACAGAGGCATTATGATGTTTCCACAACATCAGCAATGATTCCAACTTGCTTGAAATGTCAGGGCTCCAGGGTGAGTCTAAAGCCATTTTTCATTTCAACATGATAGCCTCTACTTCCCAGGGGCTCCAAAACCCCAGCTGTGAATTGAAAACCTCACTCCAGAGGTGCTTCAGTAAGAAATGTTTCATTCCTACCCTGGGCCGTGTCAAAATGATGGGCTGACCAAAATATTTGGTTGCAAATTGCTTAGCACCTGTAGTCTTCAGAGACACTCAGAGCAGGTTAACCCTCCTGGGGGGCTTTCTTTGAAAGAAAGTGATATATTGTGCTGTTGACAGAAAGTTATCTGAGACATGGGATGCGACAACCTGTGTGGGAAGAGGGCAAGAAGATCATATAGTGCTTAAGTTGAGATCCCTTGCTCTATTCCAATGACTCCTTAGTCTGGAAATTCTCTCTGTGTGATCACCCATGAGTAGAGCCAGTACTGTAGAGATGGGAGAGAGGACATTATTAACCATGTGAAGGCTAATTTCCTACACTAGGCAGTGGAAGCCTCTTTGCTGGGCTAAAGACTGTGGTTAATCACACTTCATTACAAGCTGAAGTAAAGCAGCTCCAAGGAGTTTGCAACCAGCTGGTCAGCAAAGAGGAAAGGCCATAGAGGGAGGAAGTGTGTTTCATAAATGGGGGTAAGTAGTATACATTATGAGTGTGCTGGGAATAAAAACAAGCTTGTACCAGTGAATAGTGTGCCTCAAATTTCAGACCAGTTCCTGTGGGCCCACTTAAAGCGTACTCCAGTTTTCAAGAAGTCACTGATTCCAGCAATATCCCCAGTGTTTAGGAGCAAGGAATGTTGCCAGGCCCTCTAGAGCGAAGCCTCCAGAAATACGATGGAATTATTAAGTGCATTTAGCGTTCCTGTTTATTGTTAGAGGCATGATGTCTCTGCTTGTCTGCTGAGCTCCTTTTTTTCAGGCAACACTCATAAATTCAAGGAAGAGATAAAAAATGGCCACAGCTCTGCTTTTCATACCGGACAGGGTCGTTTGAGTCATTTGGTCTTGGTCACACCTGGCTGCTACGCTGTCCCCCACTGATCTCTGTACAGAGGTCTTATCACCACCATGCTGATGGATGGGCTGTCTGAGAAGGGAAGCCTGATACAGCTTTCAGATATCCTAATAAGAATGAAGCAGACAACTTTTGGAATTATTTTATGTAGGTTTGCTTCGGTTTGTTTTGTTTTTAATAAAATGTAAAGTTTTGAGTTGGTTTTGAGCCAGAATGACAAAACAGGTTTTTATTTACATGTCACATTCCCGGGGGAGGGGAGCATGCAGCTAAAAACTGGTGTGTTTCAGCCATGGGGAAAATTGCCTTCCTACTGCCCCTCCTCTTTTTTTTTTTTTAATTGGAACAAACAGACACATAGTAAAAATGTGAGCCAGATTCTTCTTTTTTTTTGCTAATACTATAAAACAGGGAGCAAAGCCGGCTTCCCCTCATTTTCCCTTACTTCTTTATTCTGTCCTCTCTCTGCCAATTGGAAACAGAATGCAGAGAGTTACTTTGTCTCTGGAAACAGCTCTTGCAGGGCTGAACTGTGTTTTCAAGGGTTTCCAAATAGAACAGCTTTTTGGAACCTACATGGTCTTCCTGAAGTTTTAGGGGGGAGATCTGAGAAAATAAATTCATATTTTCTTCTGTCGAGCTTGTTTGGTGAGGGGAAGAACTGGGGAGACATATTCACAGTGGAAATTACGTTGGCAAGTTCCCTGCTGACTATTCAATATAAGGAGAATTATACACAAATACGAATAAAAAAGCTAAAACTGCCTGTCCTTTTCCTATGTTTTTTTTCTCAAGCACTACTGTCAGCCTTTCCCTATCATAAACAACCAGTCCTTCTGAAAGTACTTTGTTGTCTGCAAAGCGTAGGCTGATAGGAGCAGAGTGGTGGAAGGTATATGTCCTTCTCTTGACACTCTTCAGCTCCAAAGCAAACACAGAGATCCTTCATTAGTAACACTGCAGATGCAGATACTGTTTTTCTAAATCAGCAGTGGAAAATCAAACAGAATCAAAAAGCAGCTCTGTAGCAATAAAGCAAGGGAATAGGCTTCACAAGTAGTTAGTTATGATGATTAAAATCCTTGCTCAAAGTCCAAAGTAGTTTCTAACGTTGTGCCACATGTTGCTTTCCTTCTTTTACAGAGTAAGATGGAGTATTAAATGAGACATAGCAAGGAATACTCTATTAGAATCTTTGCTCTGGAAAAGATTAGGAGAGCATTTGGTTTTCAGTTTGAAAATAAAATGAAAAAGTCACAAGCCTTGAAGGAACTTTCCAATGTGGTTTTCATCTGGCTTGGAGGGTTTCTTTTGGAGAACAGAAAGCTGAAAGAAGATAGGAATTAGGAAAACATGCTGTGACCCGGATAGAAATTATTCAGCAAAGAGGGAAATGCAGAAGCAAAACAGTATGTAATGAAAGCCAAAAATCTTCTTTTACCATGTTTGTCTCTCTCATTTCTTCTGCAGGGCCAAATATTTCCAGGGGAAGAAGGTGAATGGAGAATTTGATATCCGAGTGGAACAGGTCAGTAACAAATGAATTTGGCTACAAGAAATGTGTGTGGACAGGACTGAGGTTTTGATCACAGACAATCTGTGGATATCTCTTTCTTGAAGAAAGGAACTAATGAGCCTTAAGATACGTCCATTTTATGGAATTGTGGAAGCCATAAACAAAAATATCTTAATTGGCCACCGGTTCATCCTCCCTACCTTTGCAGAATCAGTTGCTATTTCACCTTAAAATACAATTTTCTATTCTGGTGATGGGATTATAATTTCTTCCATTAGAAGACTACCTCACAGCTCTGTATCTATGTCTGAAAAAGTGTAAAGCCAGTATACAACAGTACATGGTGATGTTATGTTCCACATGAGATCTATACAAGTCTTCTGACTTACCCTGATTTAAGCCTAAAACCTTTGACTGAAGTATGCAAACCAACTACATATGGCAAAATCTTTTAATCTGTTGAAAGTCCATAACCAGTAAGGAGGTTCAATGCCTGTTTTCTGATGTGCTGTGCAGGGCATTGAATAAATTCCCCGTTTCTCTTTTAGCCTTCACCAGCCATTCATTTCAGTCGAAAACTCTTGATGTTGGGTCTGTCCCCTTCTCTCTGTGTTGGTGCAGTCTGTCAAAATGAAGTCCCAGTATTGACTGGAACTTTGGATGCTGTTGTCAAAGTAGAAATGCTTATTAATAATCATTTGCAGGCACCTAACTTGAAAGCAGGCATAAGGAGAGATGTAGAGATGAACTGGTGATCCTGAAGGAATCATATGGTTGCTTTATACTCATTAGGGCTATAAAATTACTTGGATGGATAAAGAAATGTGTTGAACGTTGTTTGAATGACCTGATTTTTTTCTGTCTTCATAAAGCTTTTGATTCTGCATCGTGTGTGTGTGCACATGTGCATATGTGTGTGTATAGAATTATTAATGCAGTGATTTTGAAGACTTTCTCAGGACCCATTGTCCTTGATAAAGTGCTCCTTCTCCTTTCAAAGGGGTACTGTCCCATTGCCTACGACTGTACATGAGCACATATATTCTGATCAAAGGCTGTGTGTGGAAAAGTTAACAAGTTTGGTTTTGGTTGGGTTATTTTTGCAACTGTGATACTATGAACACTTAATTTTCCTTTTTATTGGTATCACACTTGCCACCACTGGGTGGTATTAGGAAGAACAATTCTCACTTGCACTTCCTTATCAAGGTCTTTATTTTACTGGCTCCTTCACTAAATGTTCTAAAAGACAATTGGAAAGGAAAAAAAAATTCACACCTTTCACACAGAAGCATGAAATCAAGTAACAATTCAAAGTTGTCCTTCAAACCCCTGATCTAAGCCACTACACTGCTCAAAGCAGGGTGAGCTTCAGAGCTAGACCTGGCACTCTTCAAAATGACCTGTTAACTCCTTCCTAAACCTCCAGCCTCTGCCTTTCCCCTTATAGTCCTTCTTCTCGAATGTTACTTCACTTGAAGTCCTTATAAAGAAACTATCTTTAAATGGTTGGTGAGTGGAGAAAGACCAAAGTGGACTCTTGATCCCTGATGGCTTAAACCCAGTAATGACCCTCATCATCATCACTGGGCAGCTTATCGCATTTTTCCAAGGACCCTTTGAGGGAGACTTTCCCAGTCTGTCGCTTGAAATCCTTCACATAGGCTGAATGTCCATGCTTGAGATGAGGCACTAAAGTGCTCCAAGTAAAGACTGTAAGGCTGGTGTATAATCCTGCTGGTGAGGACCATTGCCAGAGCCCTTGCAGCTTTCCTTGTTGAGCATAGTGTCTGCAGCTCTGCCCAAGGGAATGAAAAGCGCAGTGGGTAAGACAGATGAGGAACAATGAACAGAGGTCCTGCCTGCTTCCCTTGAGCTGCTCCTGCCCCTTAGACCAGGCAGCCAAGCCTCCAAGTAGTGGGCACCGAACTGCTCTTGGCTCACCCGGACCTCAAAAGCAGAAGGGATGATCACTTTCCCCAGCTGGATCACTGTCAGTCAAGGGAAACACAGAAGCTGCATTATCATGGGCAGTCCCTGAATCTGACCTCTCCGTATCACTGAGCCCAAGAGAGTGGCTCTTCTTTCTTCAAACTCTGTTTTTTTGTCCCCTTGTTTTTTCTTGCCAGTCAATCCTTGCTCAGTATTTCTCGAAAATCGATTTTCTTTCCTTGCTCCCACCCTAATTACCTGGAGCTTTCCTCTCTTCTTCCTCAAGAACATGCCCAGGAGCCTAAAGTGTTGTGGAACAGGTCCCCTGTGGCTGAACACAGACCCACCCAACCTGAAAAATGAATGTTCATCCATTACAGGGAAAAAAAGCAGGGAATAGCTCTATTTACCAGACTCGTCCACACCCTTGTCTTTAAATGCCTAGCTCACCAGTCTTCAATACTGTAACTGACACATGAATGGTACATAGACTGTGCCATCATGCTCAAGCCCTGTTCAGGTATGAGTAATATCTGCATCAGATCAAGGTTTGACTCTCCAGCACCCCTTAAGCCACTTGGTCTGCTCAGGAAGTTCATTTAGTTTTTCAGTTTTCCATCTGATCCTGCCTCAGATAACCACACGTTATTGACTCAAATAGGAATACAGTTTGCCTTTGGAAAGTTTTTTTATATTTTATAGGAAAAAAAAACACTTTTAATCTGAAAAGCTAAATAGCAAAAAAGGTTTGAATGGCAGAAAACAGTGAAAGGAAATATCCAAATGTTAAGTACTCTTGAAAAACCACATTGGGAAAAAGCAACTGCCCTGTTTTTCTGACAGTGCTAATTTTTTTGCCATTCCTCCAGGATGCTCTGTGGTTGGTTTAAACTGAAGGGAGAGTTTGCCTTGTTACTTTTTCTCTTCCTTTTTCATCTCCATCTCTATTACATCTTTATTCTTTCTTAGCAAGCCATTTCGGAAGTCTTTGGGGGGAAGCGGTGCAGGATAGTAGGTGATTTTTTCTTTAAGTCATGACATCACTTATTTGTAATGGAGCAGGAGTGCTGAAAGCAGCACTGCCTCTCCCTCTCTCAGCAGTGGGAAGTCACTTATCTAATCTGGTTCTACACCCCTACCAGCTCTCAGAGCTGCCTCTCCCCCTTGGCTGTCATCCAAGGAATGCAAGACGTATGTGATCATGCTGTCTCTCTCCATCTATCCCCCACACCCAACACTGTCAAAGGCATTGGCTGATTTCAGCCAAATTGGAGAAACAGGCAGAATTTCAAGATATTGAGTTACTACAAGAGGTGAATTCAGTTCAGATACTGGGTAATCTACAGGGAAGAGACTATCAAATGCCATCCTGCTTCTCAGGGAGCTGCTTCTGTAAATCTCAGTTTGTATGAAAATAGATTTTATGGACTCTCAAAGAAGGTTTTATAGTTCAGTAACACAGAAATGAATTGTATGACCTTAGTACCACCGCAAGGTCCTTGCTGTTCAGCTGTGTCCATTACCAATAGTGAAAAGCAATAGACAAGACATGCTGTGGGCACCGCCTGGTACCTGTAAATAGGGGAGAGAGTTGTAAGGGATAAGGGTGGGCACAGTCTTTCTAGCCTCTGCTGTTTCCTGTCACCCCTTAAAATGAACATGAAGCCTAACTTTGTTTCCATCTTTGTTTCTTCTGATCTTCAGTGTAACACCCAAAACATATTTATTAAGGTGCTTTGGAGGCTGCGGGACTTATTATTGGCTGCGCTAGACTGAAACCCAGGCATGCACAGCATTGCCTTCTTACTGTTGACTGCAGGGGGAGAGATGCGGGGTTGATTGAGGGCTGGAGAGGTGAGAACCAAGTGCAAGTGAATCAGGCCCCTTTTTTCTTTGAAGGCAGTTTGGATTTCATTTTGATTATTTGGATAATTTTTCACTACAAGTCCTTCCAGAGCAATGATAGTTATCCATAAAATCATGGAATGGTTGGGGTTGGAAAGGACCTTAAAGCTCATCCAGTTCCAACCCCCTGCCACAAGCAGGGACACCTTCCACTAGAGCAGGTTGCTCCAAGCCCCGTCCAACCTGGCCTTGAACACTGTCAGGCATGGGGCAGCCACAGCTTCTCTGGGCAACCTGTGCCAGTGCCTCACCACCCTCACAGTAAAGAACTTCTTCCTAATGTCTAATCTAAATCTCCCCTCTGTCAGTTTAAAGCATTCCCCCTTCTCCTGTCACTGCATGGCCTTGTAAGAAAACCTTCTTCAGATTTCCCAGGTCCCCTTACGCACTGGAAGCTGCTCTAAGGTCTTCCCAAAGCCTTCTCTTCTCCAGGCTGAACTACCCCAGCTCTCAACCTGTGTTCATAGGAGAGGTGCTCCAGCCCTCTGATCATTTTCATGGCCCTCCTCTGGACTCACTCCAACAGGTCCACGTCCTTCTTGTGTTGTGGGCCCCAGAGCTTAGCCGTGTACTCCAGGCGGGGTCTCATGAAAGCAGAGTAGAGGTGGAGAATCATCTCACTTGACCTGCTGGTCACACTCTTTCAGACTGAATGAAACACGGATCAAAAAGCGAAAATCTGTTTGACCTATTGCCATTAAAATCCTGACGGTTTAAGCTTTACTCAGTGTGGGTAAACCCCTAAGCTTTAAGAAGCAGCTGAGTCTAAAAATACTATCCCTATTTTATGCTAAAAATAAGGTTCTTAGATTTTGATTCATACTGTTGCTTTTACTTGTCTTATGATTTCTATCTTTGAGAACTGCTGTATATATATATTCAGTTCTTTTCTCTAGAAATACAAATGCTACAAAAATTCCTTTACATATGAAAAGTGTAAGTTTGATTAAATAGCTCTAAAGCTGAGTTTAAAGAAGAATCTTGAAGTGCCACAGGAGATGACCACATGCTTTTAGTGTTTCCCAAAGTTAATTTTACTTTTGTCTTCTCCGTCTTTCACTGGCCAGAAGAGCATCAGGAAGCACAGTATCTTCAGGAAGGGGAGGAATTAGACCATAGGCCTTATGCTCCGTCAAATGCCTTTCATCACCAGAGGCAACTGGTAGTAACTCAGC